TATATATATATATATATATTATATTATATACATATATATATATACCATATATATAAATATATATATATATATAATATATAGCCATATAAACACACACACAAACACGCACACACGCAGACCGACACACATGCATACACACACACATATATATTTGTATATATATATGGATTAACATATATATACAGACATACAGACATACATACATACATATATATATACATTCACACGCACATATATATATATGTATACAAATAAACGTATAAACATATATATATATATATATATATATACTTTCAGATAGATTCAGGAACCGTTTTCGTTGATATTTTTCCAGCGCGTATACAAGACATCATATGTGGGATATCCATGCGTGCTGAAGGAGAGGTTTACAAAGAAGTATAGGCATCCCGAGCTTGATGCTAAGCTCACTGAGAAACGATTAAAACAGGTAGGTGTCGTAAGCTTGCCTGCGCGCACACAATCGCGGGCATTCTGTTGTGTGTTATGTGAGTGTAATCAGATGAATCATGATGTGTACTTTCAGGAGATTTGCGTACAATAGAGCGACAGAGCTGGCTGGCTGGCTTGCTATTGGTTGATTTGGATAGGCCTGGTGGTGGGTATATAATTAACTAGGTTAGACTCATCATTCTGGTGCAGGAGCTGTTTGTGATCTTTCTATGTCGTCCTTTGGTAGCGTCTCCGAGGGTGCTTGTGTTTCATTCATGACGTCCTTTGGTAGCGTCTCCGAGGGTGCTTGTGTTCAATTCATGACGTCCTTTGGTAGCGTCTCCGAGGGTGCTTGTGTTTCATTCATGACGTCCTTTGGTAGCGTCCCCGAGGGTGCTTGTGTTCATTCATGACGTCCTTTGGTAGTGTCTCCGAGGGTGCTTGTGTTCCATTCATGACGTCCTTTTGTAGCGTCTCCGAGGGTGCTTGTGTTTCATTCATGACGTCCTTTGGTAGCGTCCCCGAGGGTGCGTGTGTTTCATTTTGGTTGTGTGCAGTTTCGGGGGCCCTTCTGACGATATGTCGAATGTTTGCCACTTCATATGCCTCGAGTGCCACAGATTGTCACTCTATCTTCCACATTCTACAGATAGGTGTGTAAATACAATCTCATGAATGATTTGTCTAGCGACTAAACACAATCTAATGAATGATATGTCTAGCGACTAAATACAATCTCATGAATGATATGTCTAGCGACTAAATACAATCTCATAAATGATATGTCTAGTGAGTGCAGTAATGGGCAATGAGCTCCAGATCTATGGTTGTAGCTACCATACAGTCATGTGCATAATCGTAGCCTATAAAGTTTTAGAGTTCAATATACCGAAAACTATTACTCTGGTGTCTGCAAGAAGCTGAGTACCGTCGTGCTGTGGATCTTTGCGGCTTACGCCTAAAAAAAATAGGGAAGTTAAACCTTGAATTATACTTTATGACAGACTTACGAAAACCCAACACCCTATTCGTTACAGGAAGTCCGTGCGCTGGTAAAGTGCTATGGCAAAGGCGTGGTGTGCCCGATTGTGTATCACGTCGATAAGCAGAATTTCAAGTAAGTCTCGGCATGATTGATTGAATGGATCTGTTTGCCTCCTTTGGCTACAGCTTTGGCTTCACTTTGTCGCGTTCTAATCTGGATACAGTAAAGTGAGATCACTTTTGTGTGTGATATCAAGTGTGTTGACTTCATTGCCATTTGGTTTGGGCATGGCCCTCTACTGTGTCAAAAGCCATAGCTTACGCATGGCTTTATTCCATCATCGTCATATGCGCTTCAGCCCAGCTGCTTGTCATACTAGTTCCATATCAGAGTTTGCCAGAGTTTATGTGCATAGCTCGAGCTCTGACACCCGTACATCAAAGTGTGATTCTATATCGAACACTATTGTCGCCTCATAGTTCCGACACTTTCTCTGCGTATGTCCTGAATCGGCATAGATTATTATCCCTTCACTTTGTGGTGTGATATACATGCTACAACCTTCATATATTGTGAATTATCATAGATCACAAACCATTATCATTCTGTGTTACGATACAGAATATACATGGAGTACATAGACGCACCCGCCACGAGAATTCACCTTAATGACCTGGAGGCCACTATGGACAAGAGCGCCGACCCAACACATGGTATTTGGGGAATGGTTCGGATAGTATCTGTCCGTTCGGTGTAATCAAAGCCATATATATATCCAGCTGCGGACAGCCTACAGGGGGGGTTCGTCACTATCTAGATGCGCCTATACCTGGACAATCCACATTTTCCAAGTAATATAGACATGATCTGACATGGACTTATCGACACGCATCAATGTCAATCTACGTTCGTTTCCTACTTATTTATTTAAATGTAAAGATTCTCATATGGTCAATCATGACTAATTTAGAGTCATCTTTATCTTTCTTGGGTTTCAGATCCACGTATACCCGTTGCACAACATATAGGGGCCGCCATCGGACGCTTGCATTCCGCAGACATTGTTCATGGGGACCTAACCACGTCCAATATGCTATGGAGGGCTGATAACATTGTAAGTTCACACTTGTGCCTGAGTACATGAACCC